ATACTACAGCAAGCAGCTAGCAAATCATCAAAGGTAATTCCAGCTAACTAGTTCAAAACAAGGTTATCACAGGGACAAAGAGATGTTGCGCCTTCCAAGTCCTCTTGTGGTCAAGTCAAATAATTATTTAAATCAATTTATGTATAATAATCTATTTTTGTGCATTGTATATATTGTATATATAAGAGTATCACCTTTATGGCATCTCATTAAAATAACTTTTAAGTAACGTTGCTGCACCAGTAGGCCCCCAAATACCCCAGGGCTGAGGGCCAATAAGACAAAATGCTTACCCCTTCCACCTTATTATTCACTTTATCTCTCCAACTAAATCTTAGGAAATAAAATTGATTGTACTACAGTTGAAATGCACGTCTCCAGGTCATGATGAGATTCCAATGTCAGGATAAAGGACTGTATCGAGTCCATAGTCAAACTTTTATCTTCTCTCTTTGATTTAGTACTGAGATCTATTTTTTTTTCCAGATTCACTTCAAATGTTATATCTCTTCCAAAATTAAGAGTGATAACCCAACACATTTTCGGCCTCTCTCTGTCCTTCCGGTGTTTTAGGTACTAATTGAGAACATCCTCTCCTACAAATTCCACACAACCTATGTAAAAAAATTGTGGACCACTTAATTAAGTTCGTGAACAGCAGAATGAACATGCATTTCATCTCTATAAGAGTTTTGTTTAATACTGTCATTTTTTTAATACTTGGGCGGTACAAAAGAGAATTTTAGGATCCATTTATTACCTCACACGTCGGTCAACGTTATGTACAGTATATTCATTAAAAATATTAAACAAACAAAACGTGAAAATTTGATTGTATTGTATGCAGCCCTAACTTGCTGAGGCATCATTACGACACAGCCACAATACGAACCAAAGTAGACAACTGAGAACTGTATCGCACACCCCACTCACAGCAGTGCCAACATTATTAAAACTTGCCCAAATCTACAAGAAAGTTAGGAATATGATATTTGCTAATTCTGATTATATCACATGATGATCCAGCTACATAAAATTTTCTTACACCTAAACTATACATAAATGTATATGCAACTCCTTTGTTTCTATTTTGATACAGGATTGTTTGTTTGTTCAATGGAATCTGGAAATTTTACGAGGAGGCTGTCCAAACGACACCTGACCAAGGGTCAGAACTTGGAAGGGTTGCGACTACTGTAACCTCGTTTTATCTGCAAAAACAAAATATTGGGTTGTGGTAAAGCACATAAAGGGAAGCAAAATGTCTGTAAATATAAAGACTCATTCTAAATAACTTAGTTCAATTAACTCTTAAGCAACAGTCTTCGATGGAATGAAAGGTTCTAAGGATAGATCAAGTGGCACTGGTCTTTTGATTCGTTTCCAGCTTGGCTACGTCACGGATGGAAAACATTTCGAGCCTCTGCTCACAGCCGGACGAAACTGAACCACTCTTGTAATGTTGTTAATTCTTTCACACAAATACACACACACACACACACACACACAAACACACACACACACACACACACACACACACACACACACACACACACACACACACACACACACACACACACACACACACACACACACACACACACACACAGCTGTCTATCTATACACACAGTGTTTCCATTCCATGTCAATGGAAAAACACTCGATCCGACGAAAGAACCAACTGCCCCGAGGAGCAGGTGCTCCCTTCCTCGATCTCTGACCAACTGAAACAGGATCTCCTCTTTCAGACTATGCACGTTCTCTCCTCGAAGGTATCCGTACTGGAAGCAGGGATATTGAGCATGCCTTTCATCGTTCGCGAGTACGTTCGGATTTCTGAGGGAGCGGCTCCCCAGACATGTCTTCCAGCTCATAACTGACGTTGCCCATGGTTCACCACCACCCATGGCCGCTCTATCTCCCAGAAACTCTTCAGCTTCACCGTCCGCAGTCCTTGGTCCCGCTTCTCCCTTACCGACGCTGTCACCAACTTATCTTCCCTGTCTTTGGCCCCTACCAGCAACAACTCCTCGGCTTCGGTCTTTCCTTTGGTCTCCGCCCTCTACCCTTTACCTCCATCTACATTATTTCATCCTTCGACCGTTTTATCGCTACTCATAGGAAATCCTTGTCTGATGCCTCCACCTATGTCCCCCTGACCAGCGACCCCCGAGAACGCTGCTACCTTTCACCGTCACCTGAGAGAGACAGCAGCCTACTCTCCGGATGCGAATTCAGGATCATCGATCCACGTCTCCCTCATTTCTGTGTGCTACCCAAAACCCATAAGCAAGTCTACAAATTCTGGCGGACAGCCAAAGCATTTGCGGTTTACCGAGTTGAATGCCTTCGCAAGGTCAATGAAAGTCAGGTAGAGATCTTAATTCTGTCACTGACATTTCTCTTGAAATTGTCGTGCAACGAAGATCATGCCAGCGGAACTGCGATTTTTCATGAAACCGCATTGGGAAGAGTGCTCATGATAGGAGAATTCATGTCT